GGGGGGGGGGTAGTATTGGTATGCTCACGGAGGAAACAAGGTTGCTTGGCCCGTAGGATGGTGTGGACTATACCATTGGTCGCTAACACCTCAGAAGCTGAACGAGAGATGTTGAGAGATCGTCCTCGCCAAACTTATAGCTCTTCCAGAGTATAGCTCGACGTCCAAAAAGTTATGGGTTCAGGTTTCAGCTCGTGGAGGCAGAGCGCATTTTCTGTTTGTTTGTTTTTTTTCTACATATGGTGTGTCATCAGTCCGAAAGTTTCTTGCCTGGCAGTCTTGCGCAGATACATGTAGTGTAGTGGAGCGCGGTCCATTCTTGGGCTTCCACCTTGGACAGACAGACAGCATTGTTACTCTTGACTTCACTAGCCGCAACCCAAACCCAAACCCAAACCCAAACCCAAAACTTTTTCCCCAGAGCATAAGGACGTGGCAGAAGCATATAATATTATAATCTCAGCAAAGGCACCTCAAAGGCATTATTCTTTTACGTATGGTTTGGAAGTCGACGTGTATCAGGACGTGCCATTTACATCTGGTCTGCAGTCCACTGGACTACACGATGCCAAATTGCCAATTTGAAAAACGGGGTCTATTGGACCCCGCATCTTGAAAAGAAAATGCGGTGTTTTTCCACGGTGATCTGCGAAGATCAGCGGCGGAGAGATCTTCACGCGTTCTTTTCAAGAAGTGGGGTCCAAAAGGTCCCCTTTTTTTTTGGGTAAGGAGGCAGCAGCCTCCTGTGGGCTGGGCAATCGCAGAGGTGCCCTCTACTCCCCGGTATACAACCCCTCCTCACCCCCCCCCCAGCGTGAAGCGCTGGGTTCGACCGGGGGTCCGCCTCCTGCCCGGTACAACCGGGCACCGGCCCTGCCGTAGAGGGGATTCTATTCCTTCCCATGTCTTTGTTTGTAAACCCTAAACCTTTTCTTTTCCTCTCCCTTCTTACGTGAACGTACGTCTTTAAAGTTTAAACCACCACTATGTCCGACGCTGTTTTCCCGAGACCAGAACATGCCGCGTGCCAAAACGAAAACAAACCAGCACGGGCATGGTTGTTCTTCCTTTTGGCGGGCGATGCGAGCCATTTTGGTCTGTTAGCCCCGAGCCCGAAAGTCGCGGTGAATGCATCGGCTCAGCCATTCTATTTGCCTGGTGAATCCCTTTGGCGGGCAATGCCAGCCATTGGTTCAAAATGTTGAACAATGGAGCAATGCTTGTAGACCCCTTGCTGACAAGGCCTGTACAGGGTTTCAGACCTAGGCTGTTTGTTGGGGCGCTGCAACCCACTTGTGCCCGGATACACGCCCGGGTGCCCGGCCGGGCATGAACCCCGGGCAGGGTTTCAGGCAGCAGCCCCAGCGTCTAAAGAAAAGAGAGGAAAAAAAAAGAAAAAAAAATTCCAGCCAAAAAATATGTTGTGTAGAATTGCAATACAAAATTACAAATGGCTTTCGGCCCGGCCGAGGGTCATATCAAAGTTCCTCACGGAATTGAAGATCAAAATGAAAATAACTGAATCAGACTAAGGCACCCCCCTTTGGACCCCTTTA